CAACCTCATCTATCTCCACTCCACCACCAGTTTCAGGCCTGGGGGGGCCTGAAACTATTCTTTGCTCCTTTTCATGCATATCTATCAAAATTAAGCGCTATGTTTCCTGCCGAGTTCTGAGCGCCAAACACAAAGTAATCGTATCAATAAATTTCTCCTATTTGTCTTTTCTCTTCATGTGAGTTTTTCAGATTGAACTGAACAATCTTATTTTATCTGAGTTTTGGCAGTCTGGGTCTCTTTAAGAACCAGACTGTAGCCTAAAGGTAACTCATTCATTTTGCACCTATGTACCTATTTAATGCCCGATGTTATTAGCTTGGACTCTGCAGATATTAAGAAATGACTTCAAAATACAAAATAATATTTTTCTTTCTTAGATTTCAGTTCCTAGGAGATTCCCATTGTTTTGGTTAATCCAGTTAGGCTTTTTTGACATTTTTTCTCTGCTAGCAGAGATAAACAAAATGCTGCAAACAGTCACGATCTCTGACAAGAAGCTAGTAGGTCTTTGCAAATTTTAAGAGAAGCTTCAGCATTATTTAAAGGATTAGGTGGATTTAATGTTTGTTTATTTGATCATTTATGTAGGAATGTTATATTTAGAGAAAATAGAAAAGATGTTAAACTAATGAGAGCTTCATCAAGGGTCTGTTTAAGCCTAGTATAAGTTTTAAAAACAAGTATATTAAATAAATATATCACAGCCTGTGTGGTTAACTAAACTTTAACTTTAAATCCCAGAAGTTATTAAATTAATGTTGCAATTAGGAAAAAAAAGGATTCAAATAAGTAATTAAAAAGCCTACATTAATGGTCATGAAAGGCATAAAAACCAACTAATTTTAGATAACATCTGAGGGAAACTACACACCCTGAAATATCTGGACAACAATACTTTTTCATTCAATAAAATGTTAACTTAAAAGCTGAAAGCGACTTTCATCTTAAGGTAAGGCTTCGTTATGATCTGTAGAAGAACTGATTGGACAGAGTTTAAGCCATCTGGTGGAACAGATGTATAGGAAAATTCATTCATCTAAACTTTAGACGTTGGAGACCTAAAAATAGGCTTTAATATTCATTTTAAGTATTAGTTACTTCTTAACTAACTGAATCGGATCAAATATGTTTTGGTCTTGTTTATTAAGACAGTTGAACAATTAATAAATTGTTATCACTTGGCTATGAATAAATTAATTTATTTTGTAATAGTCTGTTTTGGGGTTTTTTACTCGTTTTAGCATGAACAGGAGCCTGCTACTAATGTTCCCTGGAAGGATTATCCTGTTTCCCTCTGCTTAGAAATATTTATTTTCTACAGGAGGGCAGCAGTTAGATTTTATTTCCCTGCCTTAGGCCAGAGCAGGGGAGCTGCCCAGGACAAAAGACAAGATGGCCGAGGATGTGTGTGATCACAGCGTCTGGGCTTGCTTTCTTTTGCTCTGATTTTCTGCATGCATCTTCTGTCGAAGTTGTAAAGGAGGCCAAGCCTACTTGCAGAGTGATCAACTCTGCAAAAAGCTTCCTCTTTATTATTACACTTTATTATTACACTTTTGGTGTTTTCAAACTTGTGTTCAAGAAGCGCCAAGAGGGTTTGCATGTGCAAAACATTGAGGATAAATATTGTCTAAAGTTTTGCTTCCAAACAGGAAGTGGGGTCAAAAGCTAAGGCATGAAAACTTTTAACTTTAAAGATGTGCAACATATTCTCCTGGGAGAAGATTAAATAAGATAAAAGTAAAATTTGGATGGGGAAAAACACAGTTTAAGTTAACTCTGATCTTAAAAGCAAAATGTATTTTTTTGTTTTTACTTCTATGTTTCACTGGCATTGAGATTCTCTTCTCTTTACAGGCGCTTTCTTTCATATCCTTTGTGTGTTTTGCTGCATCAGCAGCAGCAGCCTTCGTGACGGTCCCCCTGCTGGCCTTCCTGGCTACTGTCTTCTTCTTGTTTGCCTACTCCACCAAATTCAATGAGAGGTTTCAGGGCTTCTGCTTTCCTCTCGTGGTGAGAATTTAATTTTTATTGTTCATTTATTGAATTGCTTAGCATGTGTTTCAAATTTTTGTAATTTCCTTTTCTCACTCTTCAAGGACTTCATGAGGTGTGTGACAGCCTCCATTATCTTTTTCATCATCTCCATCATGGCAGTGTCTAAGTATCCAGATGGTTCCTCTAAAGCTGCTGGGGTAAAAATCTACTTTTGCATCAAGAATATATAGTCAGTGCTATCATAAGGGATTGTCCTTATCACCAAAACTAATTTCTCACATAAGTAAATCAGTCAGACTGGGGGTGGACTTGGCAGACCTTAGACATTTCTTGGGGAGAGCATCAAGTACTCTTAACTCTGAAGATGTGAGGCATCTCTTGACTTTCTGTGGCGAAGCTGTGGTGCATTTTTGCCATTGTGGTAGGATGTTTGGCTCCTCCTGAGTGATGGTAGTCTGAGCATGTGGTATACCAGCTCTAACCTCAAGGTAGGGTTCTTACCAGCGTCTAAAACAAATCACTTACTGAGCTGTTACCTGTAAAAAATTGTGTGCACGCTGGTAAGCTGAAGTAAGTTTCAAGCAGGGCTGTGTAAAAAAAAAAAAAAAAATGTTTCCAGTACTTAATTGATTCTCATATCAATTCTTAAAAATCTTTTTATAACCAAAAATTGATGAAACATTTATATTTCACAGCGGACTGTAACGTTTGAGAGGGCACTTCTGGTTTGCCCTTTTCATTAATTTGCTTGTAAATATTTTAGAATGAATAATTAGCAATCAACTAATTCAGGTAACAGCTAAAAGAAAATGAATACCACTGATCCAGAGATCAAACTGGAATGAAGGGAATTTATTGTAAATCTTGTGTATTAGAATCAAATAAATTTTTTGACATTTGGTTTGATATCCAGCCCTAGATGTATGTTTCACAGGCTGTAGTAAAAAAAAAAATAAAAAATTTATTTTTAATGTTGTTAAACAGCGATGCCCTGATAACATCAGTAGCAATAATAATCAATTATATTAATCAATGAAAAACACATTGACTTTGAATTTCTAACACAGTCGTCTTTGAACTGCGCTCGATTATGCGCATAAAGCAGGGTGTATAGTTTAACTATCACCCTAATGATCCAATTGTCAGTGCACGCCACACTTTATAGTAAAGCCCTTGAACTGCAGCCTCTCATGATGCTGATGTAAAGAAGTTTCATCCTCAAGGCAGAAACCAATGGTGTAGGCTGTCTTAGTGCTGAATCATGTTATCCTTCACCTTAAATTCGACCTGTTCTTGGAGTCACTAACCCGGCGTCATCTGATGAAAGGGGGGCATTTTCAGTTGGAACATGCTTTGACTACAGATTTCCAGCTTTAATAGTTTGTTCATTGTGTTCACATCTAATGTCCTTTTTTTATTGCAGATCTTTGGATTTATCGCCACCATTGTTTTTGCTTTAGACTTTTATCTCATTTTTAATGAGCTGGCTGGCTTCCTGAAGCAAGGAGGGGAGTCCAACGATGAGCCTTCAAGACAGAGAGGTATTAAGACAAAGAGCAGCAAACAAAGCAATGGGATCATCTAAAATTATTGACAGTTTGTAAGACATTAATTTCACAGGGGCACGCTATTAAATACAGATTTAAATTTATTATTCGATGTTTAAGCAGACACATGTTTGACTGTCTTATATTATTCTGTAAGAAAACCCAATAATAGCCTAATTACACTTTATTAGCAGACTCCACCACAGCATTATTCCATCCATCCATCCATCCATCCATCCATCCATCCATCCATCCATCCATCCATCCATCCATCCATCCATCCATCCATCCATCCTATTCATCCAGCTCCTACGGTGAATCCCAAGGCATTCCCAGCCAGCAGAGAAACATAGTCCCTCCAGAATATTCTGGATCTCCCTCTGGGTTTCCCTTTCCTCCAGGTGAGACGTGCCCAGAACACCTCACCAGGGAGGCGTCCAGATGCCCGAGCCACCACAACTGGCTCCTCTTAACATGGAGGAGCAGCAGCTCTACTCTTTCTTGTTCTTTCGGTCATGACCCAAAGCTTATGACCATAGATGAGAGTAGGAACGTAGATCGACTAGTAAACCAAGAGCTCTGCCTTTTGGCTCCGCTCTCTCTTCACCAGAAGAGAGAGAGGACAACCTTATGGACATTCACAGCAGACACCAATACGCCTGTTGATCTCTCACTCCATCTTCCCCGCATTCATGAACAAGACCCCAAGATAATTGACATTATTCAAAATGTCAATTAGTCAAGCATGGCATATGTTCTAAAAATGTTCCACTGACTTTTTGCAAAGACACATTCTTACAGCTCAGATTTTCCATAATTATCCTTTAAATAAGGTCAGACCTACTTGCAGGCTTTGTTACTGAAAAGCTCAAACTGTTAAAAATGAGGCCTTCCCTACCAAAACACAGGGTTACAGTTAGGAATGCCATTGGTCGTATACACAGACAGTAAAAGCTTTAGATTTAGACCAATTTGATCTGTGTCAAGGCAGACAACTTAGGGTTAGGCTTATGTTTACCTGTGAATTTTCATAACACAACCGATGCAGAAAAAATCCATCATATGAATGCTGATGAGACAAGAAGTAGAAAACAGGACATATCGTGAGCATTTCTTGCTGCACTTCAGCTGACCACACTGAAAGGAAATATACTCACCTGAAGGTTTGCTACTTTGTGTTTTTCAGATGACTCTTCAGACTCGGACTCAGATTGAAACTCACAAGCAGGTGTGTTCAATCCAAACTTTGGAAAGAAGGTACCACTAAATGCCATCTATGGAGGAATGCGGGAATTTCCTCATTTCACGCTGCCTCACAGACACAGCAAGTAGCAAACAATCTGACAACAGCTGGTCCCAAGTTACATGCTTTTATCTGAAACTCAAGAAACCTGATGCCTTTCTTATATCTCTGAACTTATCATCAGGTTTAAAAAACAAAACTTCCTACAGGATGTCCTGTTTTATTCACAGAGCTGAATCAAGGGTAATTATTCAAACAATTTGGTGATAATTTGATTCCATTTATGCCTCCTAATGGCTTATAAAGCTGTGAAACAGTGCTCTCTTTTTTCTCACTGACATAACCAACAGTAATGCCTGGGAATGTTTTGCATTTTGTAGCTGAATGGTACAAACATTTTGAGCCACTCCTTATATTTTTGGTATAATTTGCTTTGTATGATGGAGACTTTGCTGTAAATTGTTCAAATGTGTTAGTATTTTTGCAGAATAAACAAAACATCACATAAAGTTAGTGTTGCCAATCATTTCTGGTTGGCTGGTTACAACCTCTGTCCAACTGTTGTATTGTGTCTGCAAGTTTTTTTTTCTTAATATTTGAGGTTATCCAAACCTATTTTTGTCATTTTGCTTGTATTTATGTCCCTGATTGATAATGTTTTTGTGAAATCCCAAGATTCCCATCTGTCCAACCACAGAATATATGAAAGACACTCATATGTTGTCATGTATCAAACACTGTCGTTCAACTTTAGCTTTGCTTTTCTGCTGCATGTACTGAAGGCTTTTAGAAGCGGCAAATATGACCCATGTGAGAAAATGTTTTTTTTTCTTTGAAATGGCGCTCTGTCTGGTAAAAACATTCTCTAAGAAAAGCTGTTAATTCTGCAGTTTATTTACAGCTGCTGCTATGAAATCATGCATTAGAGCGCCTCAGTGGCTTTTATTGTAATGTCAGCTGCACTACATGAATGTCACAGCTCTGAAGATGAAAAATATCTTAGCTCTTCCTCCAAAATGGAATTGCAACTAGTCGAATTCACTGACAAAAACATGGGAAAATAGTGGATTGCTTCTGCCAAATGTACATACTGGCATTTTCTAGATGTTATATGAACGTTAAACGGTTTTCAAATTGTTTTAGTACCCTAAGATGTGGAAATAAATGTGCATTAGTAATGAAGATGGTAGGTCAGGCTCCTTTTATTAATTGTTGCATGTTAAATGTTTTGTCGTTAATGTTTTTTATTGCTTTGTGGGCCTGATCAAACTCTTTAAATAAAAGGATCTTTTTCAATATTTGCTGCTTTATTTCATTCGCCACTAAAAGGGATGTGTTTCAAACATTTCAATACAAATATACAAACTGGTCCTGCTGTTGTAAACCTTTACCAGAACAACACCAAAGGACAATTAAAGAAAAGTGCAAAAGGAAAAAAAAAGCTTCATTTTTACTAATTCTTCATTACAAATCATATCATGACGTGGTACGCTGAAAAAGAAAGGCCTGCCGTGTTTTTAAAATTCAAATAAATGGCCGGCTTCATAACTAAAAGGTATAATGCACTTAGTACGAGTTGTTGCAGTACATGTGTTCATAGCATTAATTGAATGTCATTTCATTAATAAAGGTTAAAAACATAAATACAAACATGATTGTCTTTTACAGAAATACTTAAAAAAAAAACTTTTTAATGCAATTTCTGTTTTTTTTTTCTTCAGTTTATCAACAGTCAAACATCATCCTTGTCCTTCCTCGTAGGGAGATATTTTAGATTAATCATCTGTCTCTCACAGATCTCCTTCCCCAACATGTCTGTAGTTTGTCTCACGGTGTAGTAGAAGAAAAATCAGTTCAAATAAAAACCAGCAGATGGAGCCATTGAGTCGGTTTGGAAAAAGTTCTAAACTTTATGGACATTTAGTCCAATTAGGATGTATATTCAATAAAAAAAAGACCTCCTTTATCCTTAGAAGCAAAGATAATACTACTTCTCCAGATACACTTTGTTATCACCAGAGGAACCATTAAAAAAACAAAACATTTCAGGAATGTTAACTGCTTTGCGCCCAGTCTGCTTAAGCTTTCTAACAGACAACATGAAGAGACACAGCGTTCTGGTTGAGGCAACCTGTGATTCATTTTAGATGCATTATGTGTATTACAACTACAATAAAAACTGTCTGTACCTGAGATACACTTTACTGCCTGAGGAGACTGATCTAAAATACTCATTTAGGGGCCAAATATGTTGCAGAACTAAATCCTTGCTTATAGTTTTGCAGCTGAAACAATATATTGAATGGAAGTAACAAGTATAACATAATCATTTGAATCAGAGATCTTGATAGGGTGCTGAGATAATGGGATCAAATAAGGTCATTATTATGTACTATCACAACAAAAACAACAACAAAAAAGCCCTGCTAGAAGTTAATAAAACCAAGGCAAGCTTGATATCTAAGATTTTTGGTTTTCTAGGAATAAAGTTAAAACATATAATATAGAATTTTTTTCAGTGACAGTCAAATGTTTCTCATCAATCATAAAAACTGACCTTCCTACTGGCTGCTGATGGTAAAATAGTTCACTGATTTCATGCTAGCAACAGTCAGAGACATTTGAGATGTCTTTCTGCTAACAGGACAGGTAGAGGCTGTAGGATAAAGGATCGATAAAGAGACGATTGCTGATAGAGCTACTGTCTATCCCTCGTCCATACGTCACAGAAACCTGGAGGACTGTAGGAAACATGTAAAACTCCAATCACAGTGAAAGGCAAAACCTCGGCTAATGTCACCACAGCGCTTTTTTAGTGACAATGAAGTGGAGGATGGTTTCCTTGTCAGTTTACACCTTTAGTCCCGATCCAGCCTTTCAGGACTCTCAATGGCTACTGATTGACTCTCTGGTTGTGAAAGGAATCCTGCTTTGGTGTGAGAGCTGTCGAGGTCCAAAACTCCATTAATTTCTTTTGCGTCCATGTCAGTCAGTCGCCTTCTTTTCGCCAGGTCTCATGCGAGCTCGGGTCGAGCCTCCATTTCTCCTCGAGATGCCGTGCGCGCTCGAATGTACTCGCTGGTCTGAGCGGCCCCCTGACACCCATTGCCGCGGCGCCACCTCCGTACTGCCAGGAAGGTGTTAAGGCCATACACACCTGTCACCAGGAATCCAAAGGTCTGCATACAAGTGGGAACAGGAAGTAGGAGAACAATGTCTGAGTTTAAATTTGAAGCTAATTAACTAGTTTATTAAAGGAGTTCCTTAAGTTTGTTTCTGCAAACCTGTCAGCAACCCAACAATCTAAAATCTGTTGCAGAGAAGATTCCCAGTAATAAAATGAGACATTTCTAAGGACAAAACTCTTGTTTTTGAAACATATCTGTTTAAGCAGACCAGAAACTTACCACTGCTGCTATTTCAGCTCCAGTGTTGTGGTTGATGCAGGCCAGAACGAGGGAAGAGAGGAAGAAGAAAAAGGTGCTGGCAGCAGTGTTAACTAGATCCTGCAGGAAGACACAAATACAGCAACAGCCCCATCTGTTAGGATCCATTGAGATCATTCATAGAAAAAAATGGATGTAAAATACATCCATTACATTATATTATTATAATTTAATTAACATTTAAGATTTTCCTTGTTTGTACGAAGCTCTGTTTTCCTTTGTGAAAGGTATTTGTTTATTTTCCTTCCTGTAGGTTGTGTCAAAGAACCGGCAACTCATCACTGTCAGGCATTAAAAACATTAACTCAGAGAACCATAAAATTAGCCCACTGTTCTTGTCTCTTGTTGGGTTCCAAGTCCAGTGCGCCAAGAATAAACTTGGGATGATAATGAGCACGCTTCGATGAGATTTATGGGTTTTATATTTCATACATCTCTCCTTCTCATCATCTAATAACACACTTCCATGAAGGTTGCCCTGGTAGCAGGTTTGGGATGCGCCAGGCCACAGAGCTTCAAAATGGCAGCAAATAAGATGTTTGATTATTCGCTTGTCGGCAGAAAGAGGAAGCCAGGGATTTGCTTCTTGAACTTTTAAGATTTTGTGGCCAAAATAGACCAATATTTTGTATTAATGTCCAGAACGGCTTTATATTATACAAACAGCACCTACTGTTGTATGACAGCATAAGAGTTCCAATAGTGTGTTCTGCTTTTTATTATAGTTGCTTAGAGACTGAAAGACAGTCTGCTGGATAAACAGACCACTTTAAAATATACAGAGGTTATATAAGAATTACTGCCAAGGTCAGTGTGGGAGACGGTCCACTCATTTGTGCTGTATCTTGTAAAATTGGTATTCTATTCTATGATTTTCTATTCTATTTTCTTTTAATTTCTATTATTTTCTATTCTATTCCATTTTATTCTGATTTTCTATTCTAATATTTTCTATTCTATTTTCTTTTAGAGATTAAAACCTCTAATATTGTCTGTCCGAAGAACATCCTGGGTTTGAGGTGTTTTCCTCAAACCAGGAATTTTTATGTTCTCACTGTGGATAGTTGGATTTTCTCCAGAGGGTCTGATTTCCTCCCACAGTCTAAAAAAACATGACTATGCAAATGGGTTTTTCTAAATTGCCCTTGGTCATCTGTGTGTGGTTGTTTGTCCTTGCTGTCTTTGTACTTTCTGGTGGTGTTTCGGGCGAAAAAGCCACGTTCCACCTTCCACCAGATGATTATTTTTTTACCTGTTACAACAAATATACTTTTTAATGCACCAAAAGATATCTTTTAAAAAAGAATGGTTCCTATAAAACGAACAGTCCTGTTTAGATCCTGATAAATCATTTCCTACTTGAACTGACAAACATTTGGCAAACTTTGTCTCTAATTGAACTCGCATCGACCACAGAAACACATCCTGGATGTCGTTCTTCACTAAACAAAGTCTATGTCCAACCATCAAACCGACCAATCAGCTTCCTGGGTCCTAACTATGGCCATGCAAACACAAAAGAACCAGCCAAACATTAAAGAAACGAGCCATGCATCATCTCATCTTACACACACACCCTCTTTGCACATATATCCACCCCCCGCCTCTTTACACCAGAGGGCAATTAAAAGAAACACCCCTGTTTTACTGCTTCTCTGCCATGTTCAGTCAGAAATGGGTTAAATGAACGGCACCCAGAGTCCCTCGTGATCCGATGCATGATTTTAATCATTGCAGACAAGGTCTCTAATATGACACATGAGGCTTAAACAATAGCAAAGTCCCACACAGTGACTGCAGTCTTGGTCACACATGAGTCCATAAACCTGAGGAGGGAGGGGGGGAATCAGCTGTTTAATCAGTAATCAATATTTCGACACATGGCATGAAACCCGAGTTATAACAGAGACCTTTGACCATCTTCAACTC